CTCCATCGGCCTCGCTCATAACCTCTTTGTTGAACGAGTGTGGTTTCTCGCACTCGACCGGCTCGACCGTAATTTCCACCTCATACTTATCGTGCTGGGGTGGTCGAGGATCGGGGTTTGGTGGTCACTGGCCTTGGAAAATCCTTAAGACTTCGTCGAACCTTTGGTTCATTGCCTCCATCAAGGCCGTGTGGTCATCGGTTATGGCGGTCTTGGTGTCGATGAACTCTTTGGTTAGGACTTCGAACCTTGCATCGACGGATTCGCTCATGGTTTTGAATTGGCCTTCCAAGCTCTCAATTTTTTTCATCATCTCTCGATTGGCCATCTCTTTACGCTCTTGCCTTCGCTCCTTACTACGCGGACTCGTGATGGAAGAGATTTTTTTTATCTCACGCACTCTTAAAAAAACTAAAAGCTTTTTTATTTTATTTTATTTTAAATATCAAATTCATGCACTCAAACAAAAAAAAGATATATTTATATATATGTATTTTCTAACTCATGCACACACACATGCAAAACACAATAATAATATTTATTTTTTTTTCAATACTCACGCACCCCTACAAAATTACAAAGGAAAACACTTTTTTTTTTATATGATTGAACCTCACGACTCTCTCACTAAACAAAAGTAAAAGATTTTTTTTATTATTCGAACGAAAAAAAAGGAGAGAAAGAAAAAGAATGGGAAAGAGAAAGACACACCATCAAATCACCTCTCAACGAAAGCACCAATGATGAATATCGCTTGTCCCGATTGCCGATAAGCCGCTTGTCCGCGCCTTGAATCGCCGATAGGTGCTTCTCGAGCCACAACCGCACCTCTTGAAATGAATAAAATTGCAATAGAATTTTGGTGAAAACTAAAGCAAAGTGTTTGAACAAAAGTTCAAGATTTTCTACCAACTAAGACTATTCAAAGATTCAATTCATCATGAAAAATAACAAGAGCAAGGGCCTTTATATAGGCACAAAATATGTCTAATCCTAATCTACCTACGGAACTAATAAAGCAATAAAATCC